AAAATTAACACAATTTAAAAAAAATTGTAAATTAATTTAGAGTTCGGCACCGCGGAACCCACGAAGCATCAGCAATCTAGGGCTTTTAGCGTTTCCCAGAGGAGAAGAACTCAGCGTCGATCTGGTGTGTGAAACTTCCGTGCATTCGCCAGTATTTGTACTGCACCTGTAGCGCGTGTGCTGTCGCGGGTCGATACAGTACTTGGTCCTCTTGACAACTTGGGTTATATTGGTATATAGCGATGTTAATATTATACGTAATGCTACATCGCTGTTATACTGGTACTACCATTCCCCCTGGCCACGGGCCTGATAATATATATATATATGTATATATATATATATATATTATACTCTGTGGAATAGTTCATCACGTACGTAGGCCCTACCTGTAGGTCGTCCACTTCTAATGTTTTAGATTGGTGACGTCGTCCAACAATGTATGGGCTCACATATAAATTCACAAGTGCACGCACGCACACATGGGTGAACGCACACACGCTCACTATACAAATTAGATGCGTACATACATACTTATAGTAATTTGTTCAGATTCAGCATCAATTGCATTTAACCAACCCTGGATAAATCGACGTTATTGTATGAATAATCTAAACTGAAATAAATTTGCACAGTATAGTATAACATGCAATAAACGGCATTTCAATGAAATTCGGCGTGTGTATGTACGTCAACACGACACTAAGACTCGAACATAGCGTATGTATAGCGATCCACACACCATAGGCCTATACATAGGTAGTATCATTGGGATAACAAATTCACATTTCTTTGAAGCATAATAAAATCACGTCTAGAAGAAATTTCATTTTAACCAATTTTATGGCGAGTGCAATCGTCTTTGCCATGGTACCCAAATGCTAGTATAATATGTAGCTGATCTTCAAGTACGCTTAAGCGGCGTCTACACTATAGACTAAAACCCGCGTTTTAGTAAAACGCGCGTTTTAGTAAAACGCGCGTTTTCGGTGGTGCAGCGTCTACACTGTCAAAAACCCACCTTCCGTGAAATGTATTTTCCCTCGGTTGAGTGTAACGAATAAGATGAAAAATTATTTCCCTTTGCTTTGTGACGCGCCATAGATGGGGCGGCGGTAGCACAAGGAATTGTGGGGATTCCTACCACGTGTAGTCATTCAGCTTGGGGTACCACTGACTATCCATAGATGACAACAACCAATTCTCTTCAATAAATGTCATTTATTGTTATTTGTTGTAGCACTGGGGTATACCGCTGATATTGCTTGGTCAGCGGTATACCCCAGTGCTACAACAAATAACAATAAATGACATTTATTGAAGAGAATTGGTTGTTGTCATCTATGGATAGTCAGTGGTTCAAGGGAATGCCGGGTTTTAAGTATTTCGGTTGTATCAAGCATATCCCTGGTATGGTTGCGCCACCTGTAGCCGAGTCTGGCGTGCAGCTAAAACGCGGGGTTTCTGTCATGTTCTGTCTACACTACGGCGCTCGACTAAAACGCGGGTTTTAGCAGAGCAAAACCCGGCAATATTGCCGGGTCTGTAAAACCCGCGTTTTTACAAAACCCACCTCTAAAACCCGCGTTCCAGCAACAGTGTAGATGCGGTAAACCCGGGTTTTAGCATAGTATAGACGCCGCTATATAACCTTGTAACAAGTAACAATGTACAATGTAATAATGTACAAAGCAGATGACATGATAAAGAAAGCCCTATATACAAACTAGTATTAAAATTAGTAAGCAGGGCCGTAGGCTGAGCAAATTCCTAGGGGGGCAGTGGCGGATCCAGGATTTCAAGGAGGGGGTGAGAAACAGGTGGGGGGTCTGGGGGTCATCCTCCCACCGAAAATTTTGAAAATGTAGATCGCAGGAGATGGTATTTGAGGCACTTTTGAGTACCGTACAGCCTTCATTCTGACTACGACAATTATCCTTTAGTAGAACAATTTATTTTTTTAATTTTGCTTCAAAATTTAGGGGGCACCTGCCCCTTTGACCCCCCCCCCCGCAGGCTACGGCCCTGTGTAACTAAGAGTAGAAAGTTACACGTTAAAGAACCAGTTGTGAAAAAGTCGGATAAAGTTTAGTCAGCTAATCTTATTACGAAGTGGACTTCTGCGCAACAGCGTTTATGTTGCTAATTATGTCGTTGACGCTTAATTAGTACTCCCTATAGAAGGCTGTAACCTCGGCTCGCGTACCATACGCTCAAGAAAGCCATGTTAACGTTTCAGCGCTATAATTGATGCGTTGTCCTACAGTTAACTGCGTAGCTAACGACAATTCCGGCCGATTTTCTGCTTTTTTGAAGATACACGGACACGCACGCACGTACACAGGCGCGCACACATACACACACGCACGTGCGTGCATGCGCGTGCGTATATTACACGACGGCTTTAACAACTTATACTGCGAAATAGGAACACAATATAACTTCGTTTAATCAGCATACACATCTCTATTATTATAATATAATGATATATTGTTAATCATCGTAAATTTACAAACGCGTATAGCAATGTACCGCAAAATTGTTTTTATCGCGAAGCCTTTGATTAAACATTCTTATTTTGTGAGCGAATTATTATGACAATTATAAGAGCATTTCTTATTTTGTACTTTGATATATATATTTATTACTAAACGCAACTTGGCCGATAAGAAACCCCATGCAAAGCCGGATTCCTTACTAGCATATATAAATTTTATTCATGTATTTTCACAATTTTCATAATAAAATAAAAAGCAACCACAAGACCATACTGCTTCTTAAAAACGAAAACAGTACTAACAAGTGGTTTAAAGAAAAACATAAAAATCAATAATCTGCTGCTATGAATCTATAAGCAAAACACCAAGTCGTATCAAACGCTACGACTGATTTGTCCATGTTGACATGAGAAATAGTGTGCGTTATTGCGTGTGTGTACATACGTACGTACATATATATATATATATAACATTGTCATTTTATAACCTGATGAACATATTCTCGAAAGCTTGCTGATCAAACCTTAATAACACCTGATCACATCCTTGATAACACCTTATTCTGTTATTTTATTTTTCTACACACACGCACACGCAAACGCACACGCTCACACGCTCACACGCACACGCACACGCACACGCACACGCACACGCACACGCACACACACACACATATATATATATAATTTGTAGATTATACGAAAATCCCTAGCCACTTCCAACAAATGAGTTATTTTCAGATATGAAGGCTACTAGTATTCACTAGCAGGTAGACGCTCGGCTTTTGCAAAGCAATAAAATGTATATAAACTTTTAAAGCTATTAAAATGAGTAATAATGATGATAATAAACATTACTTAACCAAATGCAGTTATCACACCAAAATCTTGCACTGTTCTCAAAATTGCTTTCAACGTTGAAAAGACGTTCTTCACAAATAGTTGTTACCCTGCATCCCACGCCAGAGGACCTTTCTCTCTCACATTGACAGCCAGCACTAGCCAATTATTATTGCACTTAGACATTCTATTCTAAAAGACAATGTTTCAATGACATGCTGCAAATAAACGATTTAGAGGGCATGCACGATTATGAGGATAACCCCGTTTAAACTCACCTAGCTTGACTGACCTAGAAATAATCGGCGAGGGGCAGTAACTCACTCAGACAAATAGGTCAGTTTTATTACACTATGTAGGCTTCTATTAACAATGCAGTTTTGTTAGATACAGCGAAAAAGGTATCAAACAAGAACCACGTTGTGGCAAAAGAGATGATGCGAGCTTGCTGCACCAGAAAAAAGCTTGCAAGCTTCCCTACTAACTTTCCAGATAAAATCTCTCCAGATAGCTGAGTGACTGATGAACAAAAAGATGGATAGTTTAGCCAAGGTTAGCTCTGCCCTTGTGGCTCTTCCATCCATTACTGAGCTATACAGTTAGATTTGAAGGAACCCGACAAGGAATCTTTGTAGCATGCAAAATGAAGATTAAGCCCACAGAATAAACATGTTGCCTGTAGCCTGTCTATCTGCTGGCCACTCTGCCCACTGGACTCCCTCATACTGTGCTGTAAAGCAGCATGGCGGAACAAAGGGCTACACGGGTAGAGCTTGGTTGAGGCGTCCTCCCTGTAACGTCGTGGAGTCCCACTATTTCCTCTGCATGTCTGCATCGTCCATCTCGCCGTGATAGTAATCAGCAGCGTGTAGGTGCACCTCACCCAGGTTTAGAATCTTTCTCGATGCCTCTCGAATCTTGTACTTCTGCACCTTCCCCGTCACTGTGAGCGGGTACTCATCCACAAACAACATGTAGCGCGGAATCTTAAAATGAGCTATCTGAAAACCAGAGCGATACGACCGAGAGTAAGATAACGAGATACGGTAGCGATAAATAAGGTAAGATGCTGAGATAAGATACAGATGAATACAATAGAGTAAGATAACGAGATAATACGAATATTATTAATTGATCATTAACCAGCACACAAACCTCCTGGCTTCATCTATTTATGGCATCATACAGTGTGTAGATGTGTTAATAATGGTATTCATGCCATTTTTATCAATTCTAATAACAAACTAGATACCTTTCCCTTGCAAAAGTGTCTCAACTCTTCAGCTGTTGTGTGTTCGTGACCCTTCTTTAGTCTGATCCAGGCACAGAGCTCTTCACCCATTCTCTTATCCGGTACTCCAATCACCTATAACAATTAAAATGTTATCGCCAAATTCCCATTTGGCCACATTTAGCAGTATTGTATTTAGGTTACCCTTATGCACATGTATTAATTATTGTTCCAACGGTCATGAGACTGAACAAATTTAAGTCAAATATGTAGTATAACCCCACAGCAATATTGGGTTAAAAACCCCTGAATACGAAACCCTGTCCTTTTGATAAATAACATTCCAAACACAGTAGCATATTACATATCCACAATTCAGAAAAGCACTTCAGTGGCAGGCAATTTTGTCAATTTTCCATCTGTTGATGTTTGCTGGCCAATCGCGATTCAGACTCTATTACAATTGTCACGACAATGCCAGCGTATGTTCAGTAAACTAACAACATTAATAATATAACTTTAGAAATTCTCATGGATAGATCAGCTGGAAAAATGCAACCACATTCATTTTTATAACTCCATTACATTTACGGTTACTTGAGAAAACAAACAGTTGGCCGTTAATGGCGTTGGAAAACTATTTTGATTGACACTACTTTATTAACATTGTTATTTTATGTCCGGCATAAAGGCAAACAGCCAGAGACGATAATGCTAGTGCTCTCCCACCATATGAGACAATGAATGTAGACTGTGAAGTGGCACCACCTGGTGTGACATTTATAAGTTATATAAACTTCTGGTTGCATACGAAAGTGCTATCACAGAAGGTAAGTTCTATAACACACCTGCACATCTTCCACGGCCTCGTGCTTGTACAGGAACTGCTCTATCTCGGTCGGATAAATGTTTTCGCCTCCCCTAATCAGCATGTCTTTGATGCGGCCAATAATGCGTCCAAAACCATCTTCATCCAAGACTGCAAGGTCCCTGATAGATTAACATTATTATCGTGAATCCTGTGTTAGCCAATTAACACCCTCTGTACAAGCTATACCTGTCTATAAGGGACACTATAGGCAATTACTTCGAGTTACAGTTATGCATATACAGTGAAACCACGCCGCATTATCAAATGTACACGTATTAAAGCGCACCTTTGATTTCCCTTGAATAATCCTTATAAACAGGTTTGATTGTTCATCAATGTTGTCCTGCAAAACCGAGCTTAACAAGGTATTAGCAACATGATTTTTAGTATTTACCCAGTCTTGTACCACCGATCAGGCAAAATACATTCCCTTGTCTTCTCCTCGTCTCCCCAGTATCCTAGCATAGTGGTGTAGCCGCGTGTGCACAGCTCTCCTGGTGTGTTAATAGGCACCAGTCTGTTCTCTGAATCCACGACTTTCACCTAAACAAGAACAGATAAGAGTATTAATAAAAGAAATATTATTTTATGATAAATCCCTGTAATTACTCTGTTTGCAACAGTTTTTGAAAAACTGAATGAAGCTAACATGTCAATTATGTTGAGCTATCGCAAATTAAAATTACTCTTAATATTATCGTTAAAGCCGATCAACGGACAGTATTACCCCACGTTACAGTGGAGTAGGTAATGTTCTAGCGCTCTGTACAATTACCTCCACGTGTGACGCAGGATGACCTATGGATGACACTCTCTTCTCTAGTGGATCATTCATGTAAGATTGAAACGTCACGGGGCTGGTCTCCGTCGTACCGTAGCATATCTGTAAACATGAACACACATCCGATTACAAATCGAACAACTTGCATACACACGCTGGATCAGTATTTAGAGATATAGTTATAAACCATCGCCTTAAATTATGTGAATGACTATTACATAATATTAGGGTGTATGAATTTATACCCTTTTTTTGCCGGACACATGTCGAATGTCGAGTGTATAAACAAAGAAGACAGCAGCTCGCTGTCTGTTGTTATCATGAATTTTGCTTCCATTAATATTTAGTATAGCCCTATTCTATATAATTTTCAAGGTAGGAATTAATGGTGTCTTGCAGGTGAATACTGTTATCAACTGTAGGGTTATTAATCAAGTCACTTGAGCTCTATATACACCACAAAGACATGCCAATGAAGTTTCTGAGATGTTTAGCATTTTTGTACATTTCAGTTTTACAAAGTACATTTCTTGATGTTTTAATACTGAAACCATAAGAACCCTATCGATAGTTCGCGATAAACTAAGAATGAGATATGCCTAACTACTAAATTCGGCATCTATCTATCCATCTTAATATCTAAGCGACACACACACACATAAACATTTGCACGCACACGCACGCACACATAAAAGCATTTTTTACTATAAGGAAAGCTTACAGTCACATCTGGCATGTGCATCTTGGTGACAACTTGTTTCATGATCTCAGTAGGACATGGCGAACCAGCCATGACGCCTGCCGGAAGAAAAACACCAGGTGCTGTATAATTAATTTAATACACACTTTCATTATCGGTTATGTAGAAACAGATTTAAATTATTCTCTAAGGATCATGGTGACGTTTATACTGAATTGCATCCATAATAAATTCAAATGTGTTTTAATTCAATGCCATGACTTAGGGATTTGTGACGTGTTACAATTCAAAGTAAGTGTCAGTTTGAAATTGCTCAGTCAATGACCATTATCCAAACAACTTTTTGCAACTTCCATTACGTTAATTTTGAGCTTGATAATATTTACTGTCCATAACAGACTAAAAGTCATTATTATAAAGTTTAGATATGTGTGAAGTGGTGTACTGGACTATCTCTACCAGATACAGATTCACTGCACTACCACATGTGGGTTTGACCAGCTTTATCTCTCTATGTCATAAAACTATAAAGCTAACAATGAGCAACTAGTTTCTAGTTATGGTAGCCTTTATCAGGCTCCTTTAACTCACTAAACTGAAAAACTGCCTTATTATTAGGTGAGCACACTGAACCATGCACCGACTACGTGCAGATTGAAATATGAAAGTAATTGCACAGACCTGTACGGAGTGTGGACATGTCATACTTGGGAAAGTTTTCGTGATTGAGCATGTCAATGAACATCGTGGGTGTTCCATACAATGAGGAGCAGCTGCAACGAATACACATAGAAAACTCATGCTAGTGCTTTAAGAACTTCAGTTGACGCTATCTGTCTGGAGTGATTGACAGATAACTCCAGCCAATCAGCATTGCAATAGAGGCAATCTAAAAACTCTGCCTAGTAACAAAGTGCCACTAGTTTGACAATGTGGCATGTACGTGTGAAGGCCCTTAATTACTATTTCAATTGAAGCTGCTCAGTTATAAAATAAGCAGTTCAACAAGTGCCGCAGAGCGACAGCGCTCAACTGACGTGTACTGTAGCCAGGTATTCTTCTGATAAACTCCCTGGCAAGCCGAATCTAAGTGCGCCCCCGCCACCGCCATGATAGGCTTTGCTATACCGGTAGTACACTAATAAAGATATAGCTGTGTTAACTTTAATGACTTCGCTAAAATTACTGTTATCATGGAATGCGTCGAGCGCGGAGCGTAGTGGTGGGGGAGGGTGGGGGAAGGGGCGGGTGAGTGAGCTCTAAACAGCAAAAGCAGTTCAGTCCTTTGTTAACAAATTCATGTTTAACCCTCCGCTTGCGGACACTTACTCTTTGCACGGTCAGCGGAAAGTAGATTTCACGGTCCTTTCAATAAAGTGATAACAAGTGCCGCGGAGCGACAGCGCTCATCTAACGTCTACTGCGGTGACTCTGTGGTGGAGTGTGGGATTCTAGTAAACCCTGTTAGTCCCAATGTGTTCACTTACACGCCGAAACAGTGGAATGCACAGGGATGGTATCAGGAACCTTCTCAAAGGAATGTTTGTTGGGATCGTTATGAAAGTTGCACGAGATGGTGCGTACGTTTTAAGTGTCTTCAGATTAAAGATGGATCTCCATCATAGTTATAGTAGCAACAACTATTTGCAAGACAGAATAGGTAAGCACTCATCCATTTACCTACGCAAGCCTACAGGCTGCAATAGAGAGCTGCCACCTGTAACTAATTAACGCAGGCAAAAACTACACAGCCACCACCACATGCACTGGCAGTGGCCACTGGCAGTGGCATACGTTACATGTAAAATACTGACAGTACAGAATGCCATAGAAATTATAGGATTTAAGGAGCATAAACCTTCTTCAACCCAAATTTAGCTTTTGAAATTTCACTGTGACATTGTAGCTCGTACATATGCAGGGCATGTATAGATTCTACTAGCAAACCCGGCAGTCAAATTCTTTCTAACAGACAGTAACAAACTCCCATGTTTAACCCTCCTCTTGAGGGTCAAAAGGTTATCCGACACTTACTCTTCGCATGTCAGCAGAAGGACATTCATGGTCCTTTCAATAAAGCCATAAAAATGCTAGGTTACCGCGTAAACAAAAAAGTTTTTCAATCGCTCTTGTCAGCACCATGTCCTCAGAAAATGTCTAAAATCTGCCCTGTGCCATTGACCTTTGACCTGTGACCTCCAATTTATGCACAGTGATGGCTTTTCCTACCATGAGCTATAACAGCCGATATCACCAGCCTAGGTCAAGCCGTTTTAGATTTGTGCCGCAATTCTGCATTTCCTCCCTATACCTTAGTTAAGGATCGTGAATGTTCCCCGTTCTTTTACACCTCTTGACCTTTGACCTTTGACCCCCAGCTTCGACATCCCAACTCGTTTTGACGATCCCCCCCGATGTGCCGAATATTGTGACCATACGTCGAGCGGTTAAGATTTGTGCCCAACTGTTGACGGACGCACGCACGCACGCACGGACGGACGGACGGACGGACGGACGATCGTGCGATTCTACAAGCTGCATCTGACTATGTCAGATGAGCTAAAAATGATAGGTCGTCAGCTCTGAAACAAAAAAGTTTTGCACTCGGTCCGTTAGACCATGTCCTCAAAAAATGTCTAATATCTGACCTTTCCCCGCTGCCTTTTGACCTGTGACCTCCAATTTCGCGCTGGTGATGGGTTTCCTCCCCATCACACTATACATCGAATATTAAGAGCGTAGGTCGAGCCGTTGAGATTTGTGCTGCAATTCCGTATTTCCTCCTATACCTTAAGTTAAGGGGTAAACATTCCCCCTCCATTGACACATCTTGACCAATGACCCTTGACCCCCAAATTCGACCTCCCAAATCCTTCTCGCAATCCCCCCCCCAACGTCCCAAATATCAAGATCGTGCGTCGCGCAGTTAAGATTTGTGCCGTAACTGTTGACGCACTGACGAACGGACATTCATGCAATTCTACAAGATGCATCTAACTTCGTCAGCTGAGCTAAAAATGAACCTGGGATTCGTACACTCAAGGCTAAACATTTTCACATGAGTTTTTCAGGAATGAAAAGGTCTATTTTCCATGACCGTGAGATTTTGGCTGATTAAAATCTTTGCACTTTGTATCTTTCATTAATGATTAGTGCACAAACTCCTACACCAATCGAATTCATTGCCTCTCAGAAAAGATAGCCGTGCCCAATTTCAAGGATTTTTTTACATGCGACTTTTACTGCGAGGTTTTAGCTGAATACAAAATTTTTATACTGCCCATGCAGTCACTGATTAGTGAATAAACTCTCACATCAGGCAAATTTTGTTTGCCTCTCAGACAAGATTATGGAAGCTCAATTTTATGGAATTTCTAGGATCAAACATGATAATCCGCAATATTCCAGGATTTTCTCAGAACAAACTGTATTTTTTGGCTAAACTACACCATCCAGGACTTTTTCATGTTTTTCTAGCTTTATCCAAACCGTGTAACGTACCTTTCCTGCTGCACTGCTTTTAATGTGGCATCTGGCTGAAAGCTGGGTGAAGGACAGACAAGGGTGCCCCCGTGTATAACTGAACACAAGCTGCCTACGACGCAACCAAAGCAGTGGTACAATGGTACAGGCATACACACCCGCGTAACCTAAAACAAAGAAAACAGTTTACACGTGATTCATCATGAGACTGAGTTCGTATTTCATTACGCAATAAGCATACAAGAAAACGTGTTCTAATAATTAAATGATGACAATCCCAGAACCTCCAGCTCTATTGGCAGATAAAAGTTGGCTTACTGTGGCTTTTGCCTCGTGCCTCATATAATAAAAACGCACAAAATTTTCACTGCCAGATAATTGGTCTGGCAGTCTGCCGGACCAACTGGTTTTTTACCATTGGTTTTCTTGGTATAATGAACGTTGAGTGTTCAATTGTAGCAAAAATAGTGTCAATCAGATAATGGGTCCGGCATCAAAGTAAATTTTGACGGATCTGCCCAAAACTACCTTGGTCTGTCGAATTTTGCATTGCCTATAGTAACACCATCCATAATAGATAACACGTACTACCCCTTAAACCATGTAACTATTTATCTTTAATATCATATATATAATGGATGTATTTCCAATATACGCTACGTAACAACTTTAGTAAAGATAATTTTAAAAACTCATTTTGTGTTTTGTGATCAGTGAATCCTAGACAGTTTGGTATTCTTGCTATCTCACATATACAAGCAATGCAATGGTCCCTGTATTTTTGAAAATATACCAGGCATGCATTTTATCACTTGTATAATTCAAGTGATCACGTGACCGTAAATAAAAAAATAAAAATTAATATAAGTAATTCTGATCACTTTTTATGGTTAAATTGCTGCATTATATTTCTTATTTTACTATATTGTTCGATGTGAACATACATACACTCATGACGCATACATATCCCATAGCAAGCAATTAATGTCAGGAACACTAATATCAAATCTTCCAGGTTTTTTGGATTTTTAACTAGTTGAGAAACAATCTTATCAGGTAAGAATGTGACAAAACGTTTAGTCCCGTTAGTTCTTAATTTTAATGTAAAAAAATGGCAACAAAAATTTTACAAATTTTACCCTAGAAAATTCGTGACGTAGTCACTTTAAGAATTCTGAAGTTTCAGTTACGAATGAAAGCTTCAACGTACCTCTTTGTCGTAGCCTAGTCGAAGACCAAGAAAGTAGGCATTGTTAACAACGTTGTGATGGGAGAGTGTCGCACCTTTAGGAGTACCTGTAGTTCCCTACAAACATATATTTCATGGCATTACACAAACATATGCAGCCACGCACGCACACACGCAGGCATCCACGCACGCATGCACGCACACATATATTATACATAACAAAAAAGTTAACAACGACACAAAATAAAATAAAGACTTTTAACTGTCAAATGCTTCATTTAAATATGAAATTTTATCATGAAGTTATGTGGCTACTATAATTCGACTCATTCAAAATTATTGATTTTCCTAGACCAAACATGTTGTTTTTATTTATTGATTGCTACATTCTAATATCAATATATAGGCAGTAGAGAGACAGTAGCAGAAACTTGCAAGGATTGCAATTGGCAATATATGTATAGTGAGAGAGAGAGGGGGACATTAAGTATGAATTTATAGTGTAGCGCTAGATGTGTTTAAATACAAATACATTAACCTGCAAGCTGCAAGCTGTAGGTTTGCATGTGTGTATCTATAGATTGGCTTGTCTAAGGTGTTAATTCTGCATAGTAGGTAACATTTGGATACATGAGCAGAGGAATGGTAGGACATGCACATGCATTATTAATGGGGAACACAGCATTCACCACATAATCACCTACATATTACCAGGAGATATTACCTATACAGGGCCGGGCATAAGCTGAGCAAATTCCTGGGGGAGGGGGGCAAAAATTAGGGATGGGTGCAGCTCTTGATCGACGTCCATAGTGTGGTGGGGGTGGGTCTGAGGCATGGCTTTCACAGATTAGTGACCAAAAAAATCACGTTCGGGTTATTTACAATTATTGGCTAAGCTTATTTTTTAATTTTGATTCAAAAGCTAAGAGGGGAGGGCAGCTGTCCCCCTTGCCCCCCCCCAGAGGCTACGGCCCTGCTATACACTATAATAACCACCTACCTGCACACCCACATAATACCTATTTCCATCATTCAGTGTTAGACTGTTAGAAGTTAATGAATGCCTAAATTTGCCTAATCATGGCAAGCGGCATTCATTATTTATACTAATTGGTGATGCCATTGCTTGTGCTGCCTCATGCAGTGATAGTGTGTATAAACTAGAAAAGGCAGTTGTTGCCAACTACATGTATCCCCCGTGTTCTCCCCAAGATGTGAAAGTATACGAAGTTTGGTCGCGCTAGGTCAATTAGGGGCCGAGTCATAGAGCGGAAGAGAAATATGATCAAGGTCAAGGTCAAGGTCAAATAAAAGCCGCAGTGACCTAGTTTTGGTATGCAACACACATTCTCCCCAAGATGTGTAAGTATACCAAGTTTGGTAGCGCTAGGTCAATTAGGGGCCGAGTTATAGAGCAGAAGGAAAATATGATCAAGGTCAAGGTAAAGGTCAAATAAAGGTCGTAGTGACCTGGTTTTGGTACGCGACACACCTTCTCCCCAAGATGTGTAAGTATACAAAGTTTGGTAGCGCTAGGTCAATTAGAGGTCGAGTTAGAGAGCGGAAGGGAAATATGATCAAGGTCAAAGTAAAAGTCAAATAAAGGTCGCAGTGACCTGGTTTTGGTACGGTGCGCACCTTCTCCCCAAGATGTGTAAGTATACCAAGTTTGGTAGCGCTAGGTGAATTAGGGGCCGAGTTACAGAGCGGAAGGGAAATATGATCAAGATCAAGGTAAAGGTCTATTAAAGGTCGCAGTGAGCTGGTTTTGGTACGCTGCCCACCTTCTCCCCAAGATGTGTAAGTAGACCAAATTTGGTCACGCTAGGTCAATTAGGGGTCGAGTTATAGAGTGGAAGGAAAAATCTCTGCGGCGGACCGAGCGGCGGCTGTACAGACATGAAACCATAGTATCCCCGCCGACTTCGTCGCGAGGGACATAATTAAAGTAACCAATAAGCATATGCTAAACATGTCCTACGATGATTCTTAAAAGTAACCGTCTAGATATCTGAAAGTCACTTCGGTAGACATGCCATGCTGCTACATGTATACAAGTACAAAAAGCAAAGGATCCCTAATTTAACAGTAACATGCAGAAATAAAAGGCATCTGATTACTGATTCCACTACCTTTCCGTCGTCTGATAACATAAGCGTTACTGATTACGCAGTAACAATCCACAGTGGTGATCCTGAATTCTATAGGTCAATATCAAATAGGGTTAAGTATTAGGTTGACAGAGGGTTAAGAATGAGGGGTTTACAGATTACAAAATATTTACAAATTATCAACGCATCATCTCAAACACAAGTCAAGACAAATTTGAGTACAAAACAATATGTAAATGCAGGGTAACAATTCTGTGTTAAACTACAAGAAGTTATAATTAAAGGCTTTAATGCCAATTATTCCATGGATTTACAAGAACACAATAAACTTCAACATGTTTTGACAACGATGTCTGCAAATGCCCCAGTAAATCTAATGTGACTCAAAACATATTTACAACAGCAAAAGCACTGCACGTGAAAAAGTTCAAATTTACAGCTCTAGCCTTGAATAAAGGATTGCCTTTGTACACAAGAAAAAAACATTGCACGAAATGTTGCCTGCGTAGAACCTACCCTCATATAATTACGTGAGGCTGCTAGGCAAATTTAGTTAATAATGAGTAATACCACATAACAGGTTCACACTGCATGACACAAGTGAGTCCACCCTCACTTATATGCTTAATGTATACTAATAACACTAACATTTTTGAAAGGCAATGCAATTAACACAGCAGCACACACGTATATAGATTCTTTAACAATCAATTTCAGTGGGAATTCACCGATTTTCTTTTCGCTCACATGAATAGCAGTTATTGTGAATTAGGAACACAACACTCGATTTCATGCATTAATTAAGATGAGATTAATTAAGTCGCTGTGAATCTTACCGATGTGAACTGAATGTTGGCTGCGTCATCAAACTGTAGCTTTTTCTGCAAATCCTTGACATACTGCAGGCCCTTGTTAGAACTCACATCCACTAAATCAGACCACTGAAACGTTCCACTTAAAAAAAGTGGAAGACTGGTCTGAGTGAAAGCAGGACAAAGACATTCGTATTTTCACCACGTGCATGAAAACACTACCTTCATATGAGGAAAACTGTAATGTGCTAAAATTCTTTATAGTGTATTCAAACCTCTCTGTAGATGCTGCTAGGGTGCTAGCTTGCTGTTAAATATCCATTACGAAATCAAAGTTTCATTCATGATTTCCTATGTTCATGTAAATAGCAGTCTGAGCCCAGTGCTACATAGAAGAGTAACTAAAATTTACATGTTCATAAAGAACGTTAATTTTAAAAGCACTTACGGGTGTTGGTTTTTCGCATTATACATTACGACTGAACGCAACATCGGGAGCCTAAAAGAAAATCATAAAAAGCAGGCATCGATAGCACACAAGTTATTAATTATAAATTGATATTCATAGAATTTTGTTTTCAATGTTTTCAATGTTTGTTTTCTTTTTTTGGACGTTGCAATGGAACAAAAATACCTTAAATTTTTTATGAAGTGATACAAGCATTTATTGTAAGTATTAAAAATTATTTTTATAATCTTATTTCTCACGGCCTTGTCAGACATTCTGTGAGTAGTGAGTATTGTATGCCACTTCTATTACCTTTTACTTTTAAGTTGACCAGGTTTACAAGACTCCAACTCTGGGGATATACTGTGAATCATGGAATAATAGTTTTGTGTCTTAAAAGATTCTTCTGCCAGGATTGCCTTGACTCCAACCTGTAAATGGGAAACATTGCACATTACAATATGCCGAGGTGTACTCATGGCCACAGAGAACAACGTTGTGGAGTATAACACATCTTGGTATACTGCCAAGATGATAGCAGAGATCATTGTATAGACAGTACATGATCAGTCTTATACTCCCCTCTGTCAGTTGGATTTTATAGGTAAACAGGTCGTATTCACTGATGTGTCTATCTGATATACGTTTCGGCATCTACAACCTGACTGATGAAGAGGGACAATGTAGAATACAACCAGGTTAGTAAGGTAAGCCATTTAGAGCATCCTCAAAAGTCTATTGTATCTGTGTGGTTCTTTCCAGTTTGTTCATCAGAATACAATCAACCCTGTGCTAGAAGACAATCTGCTTATAAAACACTTTCACGGTTTTCCCTTAGTAGAAGTTATAAAGTGAAGCCACCTCCATAGAATGAACATATGCCTATGAAGGACACTTTGTGGCTCTCCTTTGAGTAACCCTTACATACAGGTTCGACTGTAGAATGACATTGATACTGATATATGATGGCAAGCACTCTGGAATTGTACTTTTGCTTACACAGTAGTCAGAAATTTGCACCATATTACTGGTATGTTTATACAGGGTGGAAAAGCTAAAGTACTCTTAACCTAATGCAGATTCAAGCATAGTTGAAACGTCAACCAAGAAGATATAATTGTAACCAAACTGTACAAATGCATACACATTGATTCCACAACATAGCTGACTAACTTAGAATGGATGCTAGAGCATGTACCTTTTGTAGGCAGTACTCTAATTCATCAACTTGGTATGCAGGGTTGATATTGACCTGCAACAACAAATTTAATGGTCAATGCGCATAATGCACACACATACACATGAACGTATGTCCCAGACAGATGCAAACACGTGTGCATACGCTCGCACACAAGCACACACATACACATGCATGCACACACACACATGCATATAACGTTATAAACACTTCATCATATATACAGGTTTTATTAGATGTCAATACACATAGAAGCCAGCCATGTACTGTGGCTTGTACATCATATATTTTATAGCTTGACCAGGCTGCAAAACTAATGTTAATAAACATGCAATCTGACACATATCCATTTTTCCTGATACTTTCACATTGGCCTAGAACTTTCGAAACAAATAAAAATTAGTACATCCCTTGTACACATTATAATATATAAAAAATGAAAAATAAACATCCCATTATTTAATAAACTTATATGTGAAATGATTTAGCTATTCGTGTCAGTAGCACAGGACCACATGTAAAATTTCTTAAAGTTCTTGCTCTATCCTTTCATTCTTATAAAATTTCAATCAATCTCTTCTTCAATCTTAATTGATTCTACAAATTTTCAATCAAAATGTAAGTCTAATGTTGATGTAAGCACAAAAGGCTGGAGAGACAAGATGCAAGGAAACAGCTCTCCTGGATTTGACAAGAACAAAAAGAGCTTGCAACCTTCTTATCAAGCTAATCTAGTTCTAAGTCTAAAAATTACTATAATATTATTGTCTTTAGGCATTAAATTTCTCTTACCAGAACAAAGCCTCCTCTTGCACAGCCATACTGAGCCAAAAGCCATTCGGCCGTATTAGGGCCCCATATGCCAACTCTATCCCCGACCTTTACTCCAATAGCATGCAGGCCCGCTGCTAATTCGTCACTCTAAAAATGTTCAAGTATTTTTTTATACTAAATAATGATTTATGATTATTATATTACAGTAGATTATTCGTGGTTGTCAACTTCATTAATTACAATGTAATATCAAGATGTATGCACAGAAATGCATTTTGATGTATTGTAAAAATAATTATATGTAGGCAATGAAGTACTATGAGTCTATGACCAATGTAAATACACATAGCATAAGCCACTATATACATTATGAAATGACAGCTAATGAAGAAAGCAGACTAGGAAACTCTACTTAAAACACCAACAAGTAAACTTCATCATGATCAATTTAACTTAATTATGCCTCAGAGATTCTGGGATGTGATATAAAAGGCAAATAGGTTTATAAGGATTAATCAATGTGCAGCCCCATGGAAATGAACTGGTTGGCAGCATGGCCACAGATTTTTAAACACAGAAAATGTACTTTGTTGCAAATAATATAAAAAACACCAACAGACAGACCAAAATACACAAAACAAGATACAAGAAATGCCAAAGATACCCCAAATCCTGAGTCTCCCACTACAGCAACTGAGTGGACCGAAATTTCTAGTGTAAACAATGTATAATAATAATGTATTGACTTCAACGCCTTCAATCTGTGAGCTATTTATATAACTATAGGCAATAGCCCACTGCTAGTCAATGACGACAAAAGTTTACAGGCACAAATAATCTGCCAAGGTCATAGAACCTACACTAACAACTCTCCCACCTTTTCCAGTACTTGTTCATATGTGTATCGCACGTTGTCCTTACACAATACAAATGCCTCTCGATCTGGATATTTCAATGCAGCTTCCTCTAGTTGCATCCCAATAGTACATCCTAGCAGAGGCTCTTCTGCTTGTACTTGTAGGTAGCTTTGTACTAGCTTTCCATTTGAACTGCTATGAAACATAACGATGAAATACTGGAACACAACACTAAAATCGAGATTATATTCATTACAATAAACATTAGATTCTATTGACACTTGTCACTACCTGTCACCTGGTGAGAAGACCAAGCAAACTCATATCCAGCTTGATAAAAACAGCCAGACCAGTTGTCAAAACTTTCATTAACAGACAAAGTATTTGCATCTGATAAATGTAGATTCATGATGACATGCATACTACTGGCCCATTGAATTAAGCTAGTTATAGAAAGCAGTTTAACTGTCATAACCGACTATTGGTTGCATAATAACATCTGATTATAGATAATAACTAGAAACGAGCAGTTGTCGCCAACTACATGTATCCCCGTGATCTAGTATGAATGGAATATCTCTGTAAGGACGTAGAAGGCAGGTAAAGTTAAATAAGTCACAAAGACAAAGGTTTGTTAGACAACTGGTTTGCTTCAGATGTGCAAGTATATGGAATCTGGTTACCCTAAGAGGCCGAAGAGGAAATGTAAGTCGACGGTGAAGGACAAACTAAGGTCAAGGGCAGTGGTGGTTTTAGAGATTCAAAAAGGTTTCCCAAAGATGTGTCAACGGATGGGGATATATTTCCCCCTTAACTAAGGTAACGGAGGAAAACGGAATTGGCGGCACAAATCAACGGCTCGACCATAGCGCTCCTTAATATTCTATGTATAGTGTGATGGGGAGGAAACCCATTCACGCAAGCGTGAAATGGGAGGTCATCTAGGTCAAAGGGCAGTGGGAGAAAGTGTCAGATATCAAACATTTTCTGAGGACATGGTCTATAACGACCGAGTGCAAAAACTTTTTGTGTTTCAGAAGCGTGACACTACGCGATTTTTATCTAACTTTATTAAAAGACCATGAAATGATACGTGTTCCACTGATGGCGAAGAAGTAAGTGTCTCATAACCTTTTGACCTCAAGAGGGAGGGTTACAACATGGAGTTTGTTGACTGTTAACAAAGGACTGGTTAAACTGTGTTTAATTGTACTTGTGGTGATCGTGGAAGACTAAATTCACAGTGAAATTCGCATGCAAAACTTACTTGAACAACTTTTACAGCGCCCTTAGAATCAATAGACTCATTCTCTATATGAAGAATTCTGTACGTTGGGAATACAATGTCAATAGCACTTAGCGCAATACCGTCCTGTTTTTTGATTTAAGGCGCAACTATAAATAGACTACCATCGCAGGAAGGGTGCTGAGAGTATCACAGTCATGGGCCTAAAAACGAAGGTTAGCAACTATTCGGATTACTATTCCCTTGGCACCTAGTCAGTATCACCCATCCATCGAACAGAGCTGAGAAGAATGTCTCGGCAGGGTGGTCAAATTTACCTCAATGGAGCCCAGTCGCTCCTGCTCTTTCCGCAAGTGCTAATAATTAGTGATGGATCATATAATCAACTAGATAACGAGCAGTTGTCGCCAACTACATGTTTTCCGCGTGATCTAGTATGAAATGGAATCTCTCTGTAAAGGAAGTAGAAAAGGCAGGTAAAGTAAATAAGTCACAAAGACATAGTTTTTAGACAACTGGTTGCGCCTCAGATTGCAAGTATATGGAATCTTGTACCGGACTAGGAAGGCAAAGAGGAAATGTAAGTCGACGGTGAAGGTCAAACTAAAGTCAACGGGCTAGTGGTGGTTTTTGGTGATGGCGACAGACCTTCTCGCCCCCAAGATGTGTAAGCATACCAAAGTTTGTCGCGCTAGGTCAATTATGGTAGGGGCTGAGTTAAAAAAGAGAGTGAAGAGAAATAATGATCAATGACAAGGTAATAGGTGAATAAGTCGGCAGTGACCTGTGCATGGTGGTGACCGGGCGATCTTCGGATGCATCTTCAAATTTGGCATGAAGGGTGCGTTTTAAATGGTAAAGCGAAGACGCCAAATCGTTTTTGGTGTGGGCGGAGTCATCGCCGTTGCCATGGTAACAAACAGTTTTTCTGGAAATATTGTAGAACCTGTAACTTGTGCTGTTTTACCGGATTGTCATGGAATTTGGCACCAGGGCCGATATAACATATAAATATCTTATAATATATCTAATAAGCATCTATATATATATATATTGTATATATATTATATATTTGAAATGACAATCATAAACTTAAATATACAATTTTAAAGATACAAATTTTAATACAAACCAGGGTTCTCCCCCAGGAATGAAATCAACAGGGGGGAGGGAAAGGGGGAGGGGGGGAACCTAGGGGGCGTGTTTTTTAAGCGCGTACACATAATTTAATGCGTTAAAATCGCCACCACACAATAAGAACGGTATTTAGGGGTTCTTAGTATGTATAAGATCAGGAGTAGACTAATAGGGAGGAGTTGTGACTAATCAATAAACAAGGGGAAATTCGTCATTTACTACTATAATACCTACGATTTACTACGCGTAACTCATACCAACTGAGCTCAAATCGGACACAGTACATTCGCACTATCATCAGTGCGAAATCGTTTCCTCGTAGACACCCGCAATCCGAGATACACGCCTAAAACGTACGACACCCGATTCTCCACTCTTGGCCGATTCAATCCAGACGCCAGTTGCGCGCCTATAATTCAGACAAAAGGCAGGGCAACACTGCCGCGCAGTCGCTGGTAAAGCCTGTGTTTGCTCTCTCAGAAATGCGGAATGTGGCCGTTGTGGCTCGCGGGAGATTGACATCGACGCAACACTCCGACGAGCTAATCATGCGGCTTGGCGTGCGTGCGTAAGGCATGCCAGCTATGTACAGAAGGTGGCGCTGTGAGCTGTGTACGGCGTCACATAGGTTATCTCGCGCGAGTGTTGATCCTAATCTCCAGCGAGCCACATGCCTCGCTGAGTTAGGCAAATAGCGCGTTAGGTACTGCTTTTGTTTGAATTATAGCCGCCGCATGGCGTTGAGTTGATGGCCTAAAGATGGAGAATGCCGTGTCGTACGTTTTAGGCTGTATCTCCGGATGCGGGTGTCCTACGAGGAAAGATTTCGCACGATTGATAGGCGAATGTTACTGTGGCCGATTTTGAGATCAAGTTGGTGAGGTTACGCGTATGTAATCGTAGGTATTATAAGGCTAGTAAATGCGAATTTCCCTTGTTTATTTGATGTCACACTCCCTCCTCTATTATCTACTCCTGATAAGATCATACCAGAGTCGGGTGGACAGTAGTGTTCGGTGTGGGACAGTTGACGTTGTATTGTCTGCCAGTTGCATGCGTGTTGGTGTACTGGTAAAAATACACGCGCCAGGTATCTTGGTCGAATGTACTTTCCTTGACGATCGATTCCCGCGCTGGCAACTTTATTGTGGTCGGTGGAATTTAATTGGGGCGGAAGGTATTTTAAAGGGGGGCTGGGGCGCAACGATTGAAACAGGGGATTTTCCCAAACGGGGCACGCGCGCCCCGTTTGCGCAACGTAGGGAGACCCTGCAAACATATTTAAATTTTATATTTTAAAATTTATTTTAAGATTTTTAAATGTTAAATTTTAATATAAATTTAATATAAGATTGTATACCAAATATAAATATTTATGACAATCGCGAGTAAAAAGTGTCAGAAGTTACAGTTTGAATGATTTCGACAAAACATTGTTGTTACCATTGGCAACGATGGACGTCCGCCCACACCAAAAACGATAGGCATATTGCGGCTTTACGAAACGCGCACCTTTCATGCGAAATTTGAAATGATTCGAGAAGAACTGCAGCGGCGGTAGAGCGTTCACCACGGAAATCCTGCGGGGCGTGCCGGCGGGTGCCGATGCCAAACCCATAGTATCCCCACGACTTCGTTCGGGGGATACAATTATAATCGAAAGTCAGCCAATAAAAAAATATCAAAACCAGCATGGTTTTTGTCCATACAATGTGCACGGCACCTGATGTGTTTTGTTTGACAAAAAAAAAAAACCAAAAAAAGTTGAAAAAAGAATGAACAACCATCGGAAATTTTATTCCGAGTTTCAGCACTCAGAATGCCCAAATTTAAAAAAAATGTGTTGTGAAGTTTAAGAAATTATTTTTCTGTGAACCAGTTTCTAGGCATAAATCCTTTTGGAAAATTATTTAATGTGAGTGGAAATCCTGAATTGAAGCTAGGACAATTCCGTTTTTCAACAAGGCTGTTTCTTTTTCTGGAGCAAAATACCAAATCTTGCATGGAATTACTTCATGTATTGGAAACTATAATGAATTGTCTGCCTTAAATAAAAACCATGGCATAATACAAGTTTTCTGAAAAATATTTTACAATGGATCATGGATGGCATATATCCCCAGTGCTGGGTAATGAAATAAATTGTAATAATTGTATCCCCCAAACGAAGTTCGTGGGGATACTATGGAGTATGGGTTTGGCATCGTCGCGCCGCCGCCGCCGCCGCCACCTCCGCAGAGATTTCCTTGTGAACGCTCTACCGGCTGCATTCTTCTCGATGCATCATTCAAATTTCGCATGAAGGTGCGTTATTCGTAAAGCAAAGACGCTCTATCGTTTTGGTGTGGGGCGGAGTCATCGTTGCCATGGTAACAACATTTTTTGTCGAAATATTCCAGAACCTGTAACTTCTGCACTTTTTTGCCGCGATTGTCATGAAATTTATATTTGTATTACAATTTATATAAAATTTATATTAAAAATTTAAATTAAAAATAAAATTTAATATTTAAATAAAATAAAAGTTTGTATTTTGTAAAATTTATATTTAATTTTATGATAGTCATCAAATATATATATAATAGCGACATGTTATATTCGGCCCTGTGTGCCAAATTCCAATGGCAATCGGTAAAAACAGCAGCAAGTTACAACTTACAGGTTCTAACAATATTTCCACAAAAAATGTTGTTACCATGGCAAGATGACTCGCGCCACACCAAAAACGATTGGCGTTTGTTTGCTTTACTATAACGCACCTTCATGCAAATTTGAAGATGATCTAAAGATCGGGGTAAAAACTGCCACACCAGGTCACTGCGACCTTTATTTACCTTTACCTTGACCTTGATCATATTTCTCTTTCCGCTCTCTAACTCAGCCCTAATTGACCTAGCGCGACCAAACTTGGTATGCTTTACACATCTTGGGGAGAAGTCTGTCGCAAACTAAAACGCA